TTCGCGTCAGCGCCGCAGAAGCTCGCTGTTGGCGCCTGCACGGTGAGATTTCGAGCCCAAGGCTGTTCTCAGAGGAGCGGCCTGGGAATATGCCATGCTACCCTCAGCCTCAGGTTGATCAGAACATGTTCTTCGATTTATTAGGCCTACGACAACAGGCAAGACAGTGAAGGAGAAGGGCTGCAAGAGTCCAGGCACATTCTAGGGCCATTCTAGGGGGCACATGGTCAAGCCTCGAACCATCATGGCCACTCCTCAGAGTCCAGAAGCCGGGACTTTCGGACAATCTCCCCCCACCCAACACAGCCTCTCAAGGGAGACAACGAGCGAGAGAGAGGAAGAGAGAGAAGAAGAGAGAGAGAGAGGGAGTCTGAGCCTCGCCTGCACAAGCTCGAGCCGGGGATACCTCTTGGACTTGCTTGTCCTGGGCGATTCGCATCGATGGCAGAGTCTCGAGCTTCGGAAGGCTTGGGGACGCAATAAAGGGACAGCGAAAGCAGGATGATCTGATGGACCCCAACCCCAAACCCTAAACCTGCTGAAGCGCTCTGCCCAGTCATGACAGCAAGATGTCCCGTCCGCGCCTTCTATCAAGGGGAAAGCTGCGGAAATACACCCCTTTTGCAAAAGAAAGCATTCGACACACACTTAAGCTCTTCTGTAAAGAAGCTAAGACAACAACTTGACGTTTCCTTGTACAATCTTCTCACTTCAAGATGACTCAGCATGAAGAGCAAGCAGATCATACAGCTCGCGCTGTAGGAAAAACGGAGCTTTGAATTCGACTCTGCGCCTCATGGTTTCGTGATGAATTCTGGGGACAGTGGTATAGTCATGTCGAAGGGCATCAACAAAACCCTAAACCCTAANNCCTTAAAAACACTAATTAAACCCTAAACCTTAAACCCTAACTTAACCCCTAACCCCTAAACCCTAAACCCTAAACCCTCCCTAAACCCTCAACCCTAACCTAACCCCATGCTGAGAGCTCTTGGTATCAAGGAAGAGACTGGGCGTACGTTACGAGGTCGGGGCCTGGGCCTTTCTAGGGAAACTTCCACTGCGGACTTCCGAAGCTTTTAGGGTTTAAGGTTTAGGGTTTAGGGCGGACTTCCGAAGCTTTTAGGGTTTAGGGTTTAGGGCTTCGGGTTTAAGGTTTAGGGCTGGCTCTGCTCTGAAACGCCGGAAGATTTGACGCAAAGCAACCCAACTCTCGCCGGGGATCCACCTCGGGTCCTTCTTGTACCTCTCCTCCAGCATCATGTAAAAATGGTTGAGAACCGCCTTGAATATGTAAGTGGCCCGTGGCATGTGGAAGTCCGACGTGATGATAAACAATCGGCCAGTCCCCTTGGGGATCCAGCGCAGCAAAAACCAAGCATTCTCGGCCGTAGTCGTGGCCTGCGACTCAGTAATTATAGCTTCCTCCGGAATGCCCTCTCTTACCAGGACCTTCGCAAACATCGAGGCCTCGGTATGACCCACGTTTGCGGGATCTCCACCAGACACCACCACTTTCATGACAGCCCCTTCTTGGAGCAGCTTCCGAGCCATCGCGGCTCGGTCCAGCAAGACTTGGGGAGCCGAGCCATCGGGTTTTAAGGACTGGCCCAGCACCACCTTAGTTGTTGAGTTCATAAGCCCAAAAAAGTGTACACTTTCACTTTTATAGGGGATTATATTATGCCAAAAAAGTTTAAAGAGCGGCCATTCAGCATCTAAGCCACGGCGATGGCTTGGCTGGCACCCTCGGTGATGGAGCTCATCCAGGGCGGGAGCTTGTTCTCCTTGTCCCAATCTATTCCAGTCCGCAGCTTCCCAGATCCCCCTGCTTGGGCATCCTTCTGCGCGTGCACGATGGCGCCAGTGTGGCTGGGGAAGACGGACAGCACCGCCAGGACTCCAAATAAGGTGACAACCCAGCCCATGCGGCCGTTGGGAACCAAGGACCAGAGTCCCTGCAGTACGGAATCGGACTGAAAGCGCACCTGCATCTACGTGGGCAGGCTGCATCCGAAAGCGGCAAGAGGCAGAATGAGGAAGCCTTTGCCAGAAAAGGGAACCTCGCACAGATGACGATGATGGTGATGATGATGATGGTGATGATGGTGATGATGATGATGATGGCGATGATGATGGTGGTGGTGACGGCGACGGCGACAGCAGTGGGCTGAGGCTGGTGGGGGCGGTGATGGCGACAATTATGATGGTGATCGCCATGATAATTGCACGATGAGTGTGATGAAGTCCTGATTACGATGACGATGGCCCTGGGGGAGGACGAGGATGACACTGATGGTGACAGTGAAGAATACTGTACAACCTGTACATCCAACACACACACACACAGAGACACACCGCCGCGGCTAACCCGGGTTTGCGTAGCCGAGAAGATCGGTGTCTTCTATCCTTCTACGAGCTAGAAGCACAGCCATCACATCCGTGTTCTTAGCTGCTCTTCCGTTGCCGTCTGGCATGATGGAGCTGAGTTTTGTGCAGCTTGGGCATGTCAAGTTTGACTCATGGCCCCTGCCTTGCTCCCAAATTCCGGGACCCTCACGGCATGACTCTTGGCTTATATCTGACACCTTCCCTCGACATGCAGAGATACTATACATCTCGCATCTGTTCTTAAACCTGTAGTTGAGATTTGTGTTGAGATTTTGACTTGCAATCACAACGAGCCATCTGTGAGACATGAGACCACAAAGTCTCCGGATCTACAGATTTTACAGAGCTCCGAACAGGCAGCGAAGCTCTCAGGAGACAGGGATATATATGGTATCGGAAAAAGGGACACCTCAAAAAAAACCCATTGGATTTGAACCAGCTGCAGAATGGTAGTTAAACGTTCCTCCCCCGATCTTGTGCAGGGGGTTACCAAGATGGCAGATCACTTCCGAAGCTCCGACTCTTCTTATGTCCGAGCCTGGGACTTAGCATCGGGCGTCCGAGTCGGCGCTATCTGAGCTCTCATTGGACTCAGAGGCGCCGTAGATGGTCCCTTCGCTGGACTCGGCGCCCGCGGCCCCAAGCACCGGCGGCTGGTTTTCGACCGACGCCGGCAGCAGCGCCGTGCAAAGGAGGTTCACCAGTGAGAGCCCGGCCTGGGTCATGAGAGCTGCCAAGAGCAAGAAGAACAGTCATCTGAGTCTGTGGTTTAGGGTTTAGGGTTTAGACTCCACTGTATCTTATTGCTGGGAACGTGGTGCAAGTATCGGTAGTATTCTTACTGAGTATTGCCACTATTATTGAAGTCTGCTGAAGTCGACCAGATAAAGCACCCAGGTAGCACGAGGGCTGCAATCACACATCCTCTTGCACGTCAGCATGACTCAAGTGCATAGGGCAGTGCACGAAAAGCACCACAACCACCACCATAACAACAACGACAGCAGCAACGACGATGCTGATGCTGCTGAGACTGCACAACACTGTTTCTGCACCCCCCC